TCCTCCCAAGTCTGTTGACTTCATCCCTCAATGCAGCAGTGTTGGGGGGGGGGCTAAGGAGAGGTGATGAGGTCACAGGGGTGACATTCTGGCCAGCACCCACCCGCACTGAGGCAGCCATGAGTGATAATTAGCACATGCACTAGTCCACTCGCTGCTGACTTGCCGTCACACAGCCACCGCTAAGCAGTATAACCAGAGTAAAGTGGAAGGCATTCTGCCCAATGTGGGACTGGTCTCAGGAATGCAGGGACGGCTGAGGACTAAGATTCAGATGTATTTAGCTCACCTTTGTCCCAGATCAGACATTGGGGAATCTGATAACACGGCCACTGTCCTGATAGTGCCAAGGAGCAACAACATATTGCTAGGCGGATACATATGCTTTAGTAAAAACATGTTTCCAATAGTACTGGGATGAATGAATGATACTCCATGACACAGTGTCAGTGTGCCCCTCCAAGGGCCTTGTGTCAGAAAATTTACCCTCAATGCTACAGTGTATAGAAATAGGAACCAGAGGTTGGGTGGGCATGGTGGCGCATATCTTTAATCCCAGCATGTGGGAGGCAGAGGCAGGTGAATCTCGTTGAGTTTGAGGCCAGCCTGGTCTGCATATTGAGTTCCAGGTCAGCCAGGGGTACTTAGTGAGACCCCATCTTTAAACAAAAATGTGGTAGGAGACCTAAATAAAAAGCCATGGGTGTTCAGCTCTTTCAAATGAACTGTCGTTTTTGTAGGATGGGTTAGTGGGTCATTAGAGAAGTCAGCTTGGCTGCCCCCACCACCACCCCCAGCCTCTCCTTGCCTTCTGCCATGGGATGACCTCACAGATGTCGTCCCTTAATTGAGGGCTTCTCAGCCTTCAGACCATGAACCAAAGAACAGCCACTGATTACAGTTCACTCGGTGTTTGGTAACTCCGTTACAGGAGCATCAAACGGACTAAGACATTCTCTTCATATCTCCGTCCCCGCCTCCCCTGAAGTCTGCATCTCTGCCAGCCTTAGAGCAAGGTAAAGATGCCCATGGCATCCAATATGTAATACTGAATCAGAGGGACTTATGTTGTTCATGCGTTTGTATTTGTATACGCCATCTGAGTGCAGGTTCTTGCAGAGGTCAGTGAGGACATTGGATCCCCTGGAGCTAGAATTACAGCTGGTTGTGAGCCACCTGCTGTGGATGTTGGGAACAGAGCTTGGGTCCTCTGGAAGAAAGGAGGAACTCTTAACCACTGCGCCATCTCTCCAGCTCCAACTGAAAGTAGTTAGCTAATCTAATTAGGTCAAAGTAACAAATTCCCAAAGATTAGTAAAGAAAAGAGACACCGTTGAGTTTGTAGTCAACAGAACACCCAAGCTATCTTCAAACAATTACAAAACGAACAAATCCGATGCAGCCGAAGAACACATCATGTGCAGAGATAAAAAACATTTAGGAGATACAACGGGAGGAAGAAACTTACAACAACAGGCCGGGTGAAATGCAAACACGGACGGCTTCACCTGCGGACGTGATCTTGCGACAGAAAAACACCTGATTCCTATGACTGCCTGGAGCGTTCAGCACCAGAAGCTGAGAAGAAAATGAAGTCAGTGACGCGTTTACCTCCCCAGCACAGGGAACCAAGTTTGATCCTTGGAACTCACGTTTTTTTTTTTTTTTTTTTTTTTTTTTTTTTTTTTTTTTAACAAAGCATGATGACTTGTGCCTTTAATCCCAATACTAGGGAGGCAGGGATGGGGCAGACGGATCCTTGGGGATCGATGACCAGACAACTCAGCTTAGCTGACAAGCTCCAGGCCTGTCTCAAGAACAGTCAGATGGAGGATTCCTGAGGAATAGCACCCAAGGTTATTCTCTGGCTCACACAGGCGCGCACACAAGCACCTGCACACAAGGACAGGTGCACATGTGTGAACACACCAATATGATCCAATTCCAAATATCACCAACACCATGGAATAGCTAGAAATCCTTTGAAAAGAAGTGACAGTATTGGGTGGTGGTGGCTCATGCCTTTAATTCCAGCAATCAGGAGGCAGAAGCGGGAGGATCTCTGTGAGTTTGAGGCCAGCCTGGTCTACAGAGTCAGTTCCAGGACAACCAGGATTCTTTCACAGAGAAACCCTGTCTCAAAAACAACAACAACAACAACAAAAACGTGACAGCAATTAACCCTATCAGACACAGAAACACGGAGGGGAGACTTTTGTTCAACTGCTCTCCGTATACTATGCTCTGAGTATATTTTTTCTTCCCTTTAAATAAAGATAAATCAAATAAACAAATACCTTAATTGATTACCTAAAGATAAATACAGGCTCACAAATGCCTATAACTCTAGCTTCAAGGGATTCAGCACCCTCTTTTGATCTCCACATCTGCACATCCACAAACAGACACATGCACACAACACATACACACACAAACACACACATAAAAATAAATCTTTAAAAAAGACTGAGGGCGGGGGAAGGAAATCAAAAGCCTGGAATAAAATTCAAAGGTCCACCCACTGAACACAAATCGAAGAAACTAGGGTAGAGCCACACGGTGGAGTAGTGTTTAGTCATGAAGAGCCACCAGAACGGTCTCTACAGACTGTGCAGAGCTGATTTTTAGGAGGAATTTTTATCACAATACAAAGGGGATGTAACATACCCTAATATAATGTATAAATGGCTTGTTCGATAAAAAGAAACATGGGCAGGTAATCTAGGAGCTGTTTAAAATGGTTACCTCTGATGAGGAACAGGGACAAAGACACAGGGGCAGAACTGTGTCTCTAAATAACTTATAAATATAGCTTTTTTATAGTTGTGACCTTTGAGCCATAAAAATATTTTACGGTTTCAAAAATAAAATTGTATCACGAAGACCAAGGATGTGTAAAAACGGGCCGAATGCAACGAGAAACTCGCAAAACCAACGCTGGATCAGACTGAAACAATGCTCAGCGCTCTGGGTGCACACCCAAAGACATCGGACACTTAATATAGTGGTTTGGGGTTAGTACTGGTTTACACATTTAATTCTGGAACGATCTCTGTGTGTTCCAGGATGTACCAAATGATCAATGTAGTGATGATTTGAGAATCAGGTTCTCACTGTGAGAAAAGAGACGGAAATATTCATTTCTAGTTTGTAAGATGCTTTGGTTGGGGCCACCTGACAACGTCTAGACTCAATAACACCAGGGTGGCCATGGGCACACCTAACCTAGATGGTGGTTTCTAGGCCCCTCAATTCTCACTTAAAAGAGCAAAGGGAGCCGGCCGACTCTAGTTTTAGTCCAAGTACAAATGTGAGTGCTGGACCAGCACTCCAAGACACCTAAAGACAAGTGAGATGGTCCCGGAGGCTGGGTCTAGTCCGAACACCCAGCATCTCATTGGACCTCTGCAACCCCGCCCACAGTCAGGCGCCACCTGCTGGACCGGAGTGGGACAGCACTTGAAAGAAAGCCAGGCTCCTTCTCCACCTGAGTTCCTCAACTCACCGTCCTACCCTCTTCATGGCTCTGGTTTTCCCAGGACAAAGGCCTTGGAGCGGCTATACCACCAGGGGTGGATTGCACAGCCCGAAGCCTCTCATATATCTCCACAGCTCTGGTCCAGTCTGCGTTCTCTCTGTCTGGCTACTCCTGCAAACCTCTTCAACCTTTCTGTCTACGATTCAAACTCCAGCTGTTTGCAGGCTTCCCACGGCGCCCAGAACATCCAAGCCCTAGTTCGTCTCTCCGAGGTATCTGGTTCCAAGTCCTTCCCATCCCTCACCTGTACTCGCCCCAGGGATGCTTCCCCTGTTCAGCCCCTGTGCTGACTTTTCCATGCGTTCCACTCTTTGTTTACAGCACAAGGGTCTCTAGCCAGGGACAGACACCTCTGGCCAGGCCCAGGCTCTGCCCCGCTACCTGTCCCTCTCCAGCCCATGACCCCATTTAACTGTCTTCCTAGATATGATCTTCTGAAACGGCCCTCGGGTTTTCCCTTGGTAGCTAACTCGTGCCGTGCTATGCCCTCTCACACCAGCATGGGCTCAGGGTTCAGGGCAAGGGAGCCGGCAGCACACAGTAAGTGTCGGCGAACACAGCATCCTCAGGGCACCTGGCGAGGTGGCTGAAGTACTTGGGTAGGAGCCTGGAACCTCACCTCTGTCACTTCATGGCCCTGAGACAAGACCAGTGAGTCTGTTTACTTGACTGTGAAGTGGAAACACAGCTCTGGCCATCAGGTGAGACTCTCCAGGACCCTTCTCGGACTCTTGTACCTGTCCTACAGCCACGGGAGGCAGTTGGGGCGCAGGGGACCTCACCACCTAAGCTGCTGGGTAGACAGCAGGGTTGAGAGCACCCACCTCTCTCCAGGGCTTCTCTGTCTGCATCCTTAAGCCTGCCCCCTGCCATTGCCTGAGGGACACACCCGGAGCCCCAGCAGATGCCACCACCCTACAGCCTCTATGACTGGCACGCTGGTCTTCTGATTCCCAGAAGGCCAAGGACCTTCTCACCCTTCACATGCACATCGCGGGTCAACCTTGCTGTGCCCGTTTCATAGTTAGGGAAACTGAGGCCCATGTGGGTGGAGATTCTGGGCCCAGACTGGTATTTTCTGCCACTAGCGGGTGCAAGGAGATGGTCTTCCAGCAGCGGCTGGGGGGCGTGCCCTTCGCTGGGCCCCGGCATCCAGCAGCTGCTGGGCATCTCCATCCCGGGACCTCACGGCCGTCCCGCGCCCTCGGGAGGTTAAAGGGGGGGGGGGCTCCGTGCCGCTCGGCCCCGCGCCGTCCACCTCCACGCCACGCGCGCCATGGCTCCGGACACGCGCGCTGTCACCCGCGCGCACCTTGCCCCGGGTCAGCCCTGCGCGTGCCCGCCCTCGGCCCGATCCGCCGTCCCCGCCTACACCGCTGCCTTGCTCCACGCGCGGACCTCGCCGCGCCCCGCACGCCCTTGTCCGTAGCACAGGTGTCCCGCGCGACCGCGCATCACTCACCGGCTCCCGGCGCTCCGGCAGCCCGGGCCCGGCCCATCGGCAGCGCCCGCCGCGCCCGCCGCAGCCGCTGCACCGTGAACCGGGCGCTGCCCGCCCGCTCGCCCGCAGCCCGCCGCGATCCCGCGCGCAGTCCGCCCGTGCGCCTGGCCGGAGCCGTGCGGAGCCCCCTCGCGGCCGCACGGAGAAGCGCGGGTGGAGCCGCCCGAGTCCGCGCTAAGCAGCACTCCCCGCTGTCCTCCCAGTCGGCTCCGCAGGCTGCCTTGCCTATCAAGCCTGTTTTCTGCTCCCAGCCCTCGAGGTCGGGGGTCAAATGTCCAGGCCTGCACTTGGGAAACCCCAATGGGGTTCGCCTCCCATGGGCTAAACCTGCTGCTGTGGTACCCTCCCGAGCCTGCTCCCCGACTCTGCACTCAGACTGCCCCCTGGACAGAGCTCTTCACTTCACCAGCTTCTGGCATCCTGAAATCCAGGTCACACTTGCCTCAAAACTGAGTCCTGGCCTCTCCTCTGGCCTCTCCTACAATGGCCACTGAACTTTGTAGTAAGGGACATTGCAGAGAATCTGTCGTGTTTCATGGCTCTAGGGGCAGTGAGGTGCTAGAAAGATAAAGTGGGGGGTTGCGACAATTTTAAATGAAAAGAAGGAGCGTCCACAGGACTTTGTGACCTTCTGCTCTGACTCCATTCAGGTGTGTCTCACTGTGGAGGTCAGGGCGTCTGTCTTTTGCTTCAGTAGGACCTGCCTGATGAACTGTGGCAGAAACCAACCCAATCCACTTAAGCAGGTTTTATTGGCTAGTAAAACATAAAAAAATCAAACTATGTTCATTTCTAGAGTAGTTAAATCATGGACTTTGAATCTTTTGTGGGGAGTGATGGAAGCCAAGGTGGAAGGGAGCAGGGCTGAAGTAGCCGCTTGACTAGGGTGCGGAACTGGACCTTGTCCTTGGGTGTGACCCTAGGGACAAAATTAGGCCCAGCTCTGCCTGAAGCACTCCAGCAGGAGGTGACGGTGCATCCCCAGCTGTACTGGCCTTGGCTCCTAAGAAGCCCCCTGCCTTGGTTGTCCAGGTGGCATCTCCCATTTACAGGATCTGGACCACAAGGTTCTCCCACAGGGTTGTCACTGAGAGGGGATGGGAGGGAGAGGCAGGCTTCAGGAGCCAGTGGAGCGGGGAATGCAGAGGACAGCTAAGACTTTCAAACCCTAATCAGGTCCCAGGAATGGGAAGATCCAAGGAAGGGCTGTTTCCAAGAGAAAACCCCCAGGGCTTGGTGGTCCAGGGCAAAACATGAGAGGAGTGGGGGCTTTCAGGTTGGTGGGGGAGTGTGAGGCAAGTTTCCCAGGGTGGGTGTTGGGTAGGTGGTGGTTGTGGGGTTTGCTGAGGAGCCCTTTCCCAGCAGGTGGTAAGATTGTGTGGTCAAGGGAGATCTTGGGGGATTCCTGGAGGTGGCTGGTCTAGTGGGTGCAGTCTGGGTTTGGGTCCTTGGGGGTAAAAGGAAACCCCTGGGTTTCAGTGTCTGTGGAACCCAGACACGTCTGTCTGAGACTTAGCATAGATGCGTCAGGTGACTCAGAAGAGAGGTTGACAACCTGCAAGGTGGCCAAGCAGGATCACCTAGAGAATGCAAGAACAGAGAGGACGGAACTTTGGGTTCCAGCGAAGGCATTTTATCAGCAGAGCCCATAAACTGTCCATTCTTGGGTCTCATGAAAGTCCCCCAAAGTTACTACAAGGGGAGAGCACTAGGAGAAAGTCACCCTACAGTCAGCCAGAAGGAGGTGTGTGTGTGTGTGTGTGTGTGTGTGTGTGAGAGAGAGAGAGAGAGAGACAGAGAGAGACAGAGAGAGAGAGACAGAGAGAGTCTCATTGTTTATAAACCAGGATCCTGCCTTTCCACAAAGTCTGAGTGAAGACTGGGGATGTGGAGGAAGAGAGAATGCCAGTATGTGTATATATGTACAGTATGGGCACGCACATGGTAAGTATATGCCCTGTGTGATTCCTAGTGGTGTTCTATACATGCATGCAGAATATATGTATGTAATATGTATTCAGTATGTGGTGCATTTGCATGTATGTGGTAGCATGTGTAGCATTGGACGTGTGTGTGTGTGAGAGAGAGACAGAGAGAGAGAGACAGAGAGAGAGACAGAGAGAGAGAGAGACAGAGAGAGAGACAGAGAGAGAGAGAGAGAGATGCATGCGGAGTTAGTGTGGGTCTGGGTGTAGGCGTGGTGGGTTCCCAGTACTATCATGAGGTTGGTCCTCAAATAAAGGATGGTATCACAGATGGGACTCCTGGCAATAGAACCTGAGATAGACTGAATAAGATGAAGGTTGCCTAGGTAAAAGGAGATCTCAGGAAGCCAGGGCTGGAGCAGGGAAGGGGGACAGCTCATAAAGGATGCATTGTTAGGATGGTGCCCATTGCAGCCAGCTAAAGCCTGTCTTCCTGGAGACTGCTGGAACTCTGCTGAATGCAGGCGGTGGAGATTACAGAGGGCACAAAACCTGCCTGCTCCAAAATACTTATTGGAACGCTCAGATTTTTGTGGGTCCTGCCTTAAGCCTGGAGGTCACCTTCCTCCTCTACCACACAAAGCCACAGGCAGCATCGTTTCCAGTTTGTGCATGTCTGAAGTTGACTTGCAGAGCCAGGGTCAGAGCAGTCCCCCTTGGGCCATGGCTATCTGCACATTTATGGTTATAAGTAGACACAGAAGCACAGAGTCCTAACGCCTCTGAGTCCTTTCATACTGCAGAAGCCCTGTCTCTTTAAAGTGAGCAAGGCTGACCACCTCTTACTATGGTTTGACCAGGAAGTGTTCCCCACTAGGTCGGACTCTGCTGCTGGTGCTAGTTTGGAGGCTGTGGCATCTGAGGAGGTTGGACCCGGCAGGAGGAAGTAGGGCCTGGGGCATTCCTTTGCAGGTTATTGTAGGACCTAAGTCTGGTCATTGCCCTCTGTCTGCTGTGAGGTGAAGTTCCTCATCACACACTCCTGCCATGATGACACTCTGTCCAAGGACATGGGACAAAGTGACTGTGGTCTAAACCTTCAGAAACCACGGACTGAAAATAAGCGATCCCTTCCCTTATGGTTGTCGGGTACTTATTCACGATAACCAGAACACTGACCACAAGAAGTGTTTGCTGTTGCTGGACCTGATGATGTGGTCTTTAGACCTTTGGAAGCAGCTGTGGGAGACATTTGAAGACTTTGGGAAACGCAGGCTAGAGAAGTCCTGAAGTGTTGTAAAGAGAAGTCCTTTAGCGTTGTATGCTCATCTTAATGGGCAGTTCTGGTGGGAGGTCAGAACGCCAGTGAGAATGCAGACGATGAAGACCGGGGCTTCAGCACAAGCACAGTGCTGGTAACTGGACCACGGCTCATGTCAGTCTGCCAAAGAACTTCTCTACGCATCTCTACATCCAGAGACTTTGTGGGATTTATGAGAGACGGAGTTTAAAGGCAACAAAACTGACCTCTCTCTCCCTCCCTTTCTCTCTTCCTCCCTTCCTCCCTCCTTTTTTCTTTTCCCTTTTTCTTTTGGAGATGCTGAGGACTGAACCCAAGGCTTTATACATGCTAAGTAAGTACCCTGACACTGAAATGTATCCATAATCCTTTTTTCTCCCATTAAAAAAATTTTTTTGAGATAGTTGCCCAGGCTGGCCTTGAACTTGCTTGGTAGCCCAGGAGGATCTTGAAGTCACAATCCTCCTGCCTCAGCTCCCTGAGTAGCTGTGGAACTAGGTCTGGCTTTCCAGAGGAAATGTGAAGGAAACACGCGTGCAAATTGTGGCATGGTTACTATAGCTGCTTTTAGCCAGACTTACACGGAGAATCAGGAGTAAAACACGATCTGAAACTATGCAGCCTAGCCGGGCGTGGTGGGGCACACTTTTAATGCCAGCACTCAAGAGGTAGAGGCAGACGGATCACTGTGAGCTCTAGGCCAGCCTGGTCTACAAAGTGAGTTCCAGGACAGCCAAAGATACATGGTGAGATCCTATCTCAAAAAGGAAGGAAGGAAGGAAGGAAGGAAGGAAGGAAGGAAGGAAGGAAGGAAGGAAGGAAGGAAGGAAGGAAGGAAAATGTGAAGTCTGGCCACAGAAAGAAACGTGTTTAAACTTGACGACAAGGAGGGTGTGGTCATTAAAGAGACTGGAGCCATTAAAAATAATCCAAGCACTTGCACCTTGAAGGTTATGGCAGAGGCACATTCTGCTCCCCTAAACTCCCCCGTCTGTCTATCTATTCACCTTTCTGTCTGTCTCTCTGTCTGTCTGTCTGTCTGTCATGAGGTGAACATACTCCTGCCACTATAATGTTCTTCAAGGAACACAGTACCATGGAACCATGAACGGAATTCTCAAAACCTTGATCCCAAATAAACAACTATTCCCTAGAAGTTGTTTGGGCTTTTATTTATTTTGGCAATTCTGTCACATTGCGGAGAGTGACTAGTCCAGTAGTTCTGAACAAGGTCAAATGTTCTTCTGTTGTGTTCAAAACTAGCCCAGAGCCACACCACTGTCACAGCAAGACTTGTGCCAATAATCTCAAACTGTAGATACCCTTTGCTCATAATGGCATTAAGAGGCACAGAAAAATATCAGGAAAGGAAGGGAGAGGATTGGAGAGAGAGGAGGAGGAAGAGAAGGGGAAGATTTCATGTTTGGGTACTTTTGTGTGTGTTATGTGAGCTTGGAGCACTGGGGCTTAAATTCTCCCTAATGAATTCTGAATTCTGAAGCTGTGGGGTGGCCTCTCCTCTCAGGTATTAAATCCTCTCATTTCCCAGGGCTTAGCAGCCCAGAACCCTGAAGAAGGGACATGAAAATGCAACAGGCCACCCAGTCAAACCATAGAAGGCAGTGTGACCTAGCCCTGAAAAGCCGCTATCACTTCACCGGTGGGGATCCTTCCTACTTTCAAGTCTGGCAGAGCCTGAGAATTCATCTTAGGTCCTGACTGGAAGCCATTGCCCACCACACAGAGAAACCCCCAGAGACTCTGGACCTTTTGCAGAGGTGAAGCAGCCAAGTTGGAGCCTATGGACACAGGGTTGCCCAAAGAAGACTTGTAAAGACCAGAGT